TCTTCTACACCACACAAGTAATATACTAAAGAATTATTACAAAGTGTTAACATTCATACACCACACCCACAATTGTCCATGTAATTAATCATTGAGCCTGTTCTTGCATATATCTTGATTGACACATACCTTTATATTTATGTTTAAACTCGTCAATTCTATTACTATTTTTTATGTCCACACTTAAATTATTCCATAGTTTTACCCCACTTATGGAAATACAAAATCTTTTTTTGGTTGTACGTATAGCATGAATTTTTAAGTTTAACTGACCCCTTAAATTGTATCCCCCTTCTCTTTCATTAAATAGTTTTTGAATTCCCCCAGGTAATAAATTGTTCCTGGCTTTATACATAAACACTGCAGTCTTATATCCCACTAAATCGATCAGTTTGCCTTGGGAAACCCTACCAGGGGCATATAGTCCCCAACAACATAGCTCCTAGGATCACTTGAGTACTCAAACCCCTCCACCACAATAAGGTGGCGGTTCAAGGAGGGGGTTTGGGTAACTATATATGCAATATATCTTATCTATATCTAATGTTATTTAGGATTATTTATGTAACTATATGTAGTGTTATTTAACTATGTTACTACTTTATCTATTTCTCTGTGTAACTTACTATCTAGCTATCTATTGATCTATTTCTCTATCTACAGTGATTGTCCACTAAATACACAATCTGCTTCAACACCACTAACTCTCAAAGCAAAAAAACAACCTACTCTCCAAAGACAGATTCAAATGAATGTCACTAAATAGGGATATCCTATCTCTGAACATACTTGATCCAAAGTGATTCACATGACAGACCGAAGCAATCAGCTGATTCACATGATGTCCGGCGAACCGTCACTCAAGTGATTCAAACGTCACTAGTCACGTGGCCGAAAAAAACGCCTCGGCACAGTAGTTCGAAACAATTGCTTTATGAACTACCGCGCATGTATCGGAGCCTCGGGTGTCAAATCACTATCCACAGGTACAGCTAGAGCTGGAGTAAATGCCTCTCCTGTGAGTTTCTTCTGTGAGTCAGGTGGACAACAAAGCTCCACAAAGTTCCTCATGGCCTCTCCATCTGGTTTACAGGAAACATAGATCAGCCTACGAATAGCAGTTTGGTTTCGTAAAGCTCGGACCACTTTGTGGTGTAGGCCGGCTCGTGCGGGGTTTACCACAGCTGTCAGGCCTCCACCTGCGGAGCTCAACTGAGACATAAGGCCAGGAAGCACCTCCTCTGCCTTCCCAGGGATAAACTCACAGTTCAGTATGTTGTTGACAGCTGCATTGTATCTAGCATCTTCCACTGCCTGTTCTGTGAGCTCTATACCAATAATTCTGTCCACTCTGGGAGAAATAATAATGCCGATGGCGCCTGTGCCACAGCACACATCTAGAAGAGTACCACCAACTTTTGCTCTTCTTCCGCCTTCTTCAGGGTTTGGGACACAGAGTTGCCTCACTGTGCCATAGAGCACCTCTGCAGCTGCCTGATTCACCTGGAAAAAGGCATCAGCAGAGATGTGGAACTTGAAGCCCAGCACCTATGGATGACAACGGGAATATCATGTAGGCATACATGAATTCTGTTCTTCTTTGTCCATTATCATCATAAAAGCCTCTTTTCCACTTCGTTAGTGTGGGTGTGACCATACACACCTCACTTCAAAGCCCTGGATTTAAGATGTACAAATATACATGTGCATATCAATTCAATGTCATATTGTTGCAGTATTTTTTTTACTGCTGATAACTGACAAATTTTAGGATTATGCCACTTAATGCAACTATCAAATTACAAAGAAAATAACAGTGTTGCTATCTTAGAACAAACTGAGTGAGACTGGCAAGTGTAAAAACATCAACTTATTATGCAAGTTAATTTGTATTAAGACAAAAATGCACCAGTAATTAATTATCAAAACAAGCACGTCAGCATGGTCTGTTGTATTTGGATAAAAGATTAGTAAGTTTCAGTGCTGGAATGTTTTCATGTTTGCTGCTGACAGTGTATATTACCTCCTCATACAAGTGTGGCTGACCATGCAGGAGTTGGAAGGGGGACTCTTCATGAGTGCACCGAGTCATGGTGCTCTCCTGGAAGAACAGTGAATCCAGCTGGCAGACTGATCCAGGACCCTGTGTGAAGTAATCCACCAGGTCAGCCTTATGAACTGCTATCTCTTCCCAAGTGAGCGTCTGTGGATGAAAGTACACTATAGCCATAGTGTGACCCTCTGTGTTAGTCCTCACTGTGACCTCTCTCCAGTGACCTCCAGTGTGGAACAGCAGGCAGGGCTCCAGAGAAGAGAGGCGGATGAAGTCCTGGTAGCATCTGGCTACCAGTTTGTGCTTCTATGGCATGTTGAGCAGATGGTCTCCATTGACGCAGATGATTTTTCCCTCTTTGCCTGTTCCAACATAATATCCAACTGTCTTTGGATTTCCATCCACTCCTCTGTTGACAGCAAATGTAGACTTGTTGCGGTAGCCATTCCTAACTGGCGATGGCAGAATGGGCAGTACAGGGAAGCTTATTTTATCTCTGAAAGATGAAGAGGACTGTGACTGGAAGTCACCTGAAAGATGTCCAGAGAGCTGAGCCAGTATCCTTTGCTGATGCTTTTGCTTGAGCTCAAGTTGCTCATCATAACTGAGCCTCCACAGAGGGGTGACCACATCTGCCAACCTTTCCTCCTAGGATTGGTGATCAGTTCTGGGAAGTTCCTTTTGACCTTTTCTCCACCCTTTCTTTAATGGTGGTTTCCACTGCTTGACTATAATAGTGTCATTAGTTGAAAATAACAAACAGTGTTTACTCAAAGAGTAAATTTTGCATTTGGCAAAAAGGACTGACCTTCTGCCTATAGCTGCCAAAGCCATTTTGACTTTGGAGGAAGTAGTTAACTGTTGAGGCTAAGGGTGCCTCAATTGTCACAAAGATTAGAGCAGATTTTTTAAAATTGTATTACTATAATTATCAGTGTTTAAAATTGATTTTCTGTTACCTGTATTAATGAAGCACGTGCTGAAGGTACATCTGCAATGTTTTATGCACGAGCTACTTCTGCCTAGCTAATCCCATGACGTCATCTCCGTGCGTCCCAGGGCAAGTAAACATTTCCGCTGTGTCGCGATGGACTCAAACAAGGACGAAGCGGAGCGGTGCATTAAAATAGCCCTAAATGCGGTTAGCAACAACCAACCGGACAAAGCCAGGAAGTTTTTGGAGAAAGCACAGCGCTTGTTTCCGACAGATCAGGCCAAAAGTACGTCGAATAAACGTCTATTTCGGCTGTGATTTAATGTGGAATTGTGGGCCTTCGCTGTGAAACCCAATCAGCTAGCGTTATTGTTAGCATAACTGTCTTAACGTTACTCCAGCTACTCCTTCTGACACCGGTTTTTCTAGTTTTTCTCTCCAACCGTAGTTTCTCATATTTGGTTACTACTGTCTTAAATTGGTGCTTTACTTGTTTGCCGTTAGCATTTACATCCTTGCTAGTCGCTACGATGCTAACCGTTAAGTTAGCTCAGTATGCTAGCGAATTAATTAATTTGGGAAACGTAGACGTAGTTGGCAGCTTTGTATAACATGTCTCTACTTTATTTGCAGATTTACTGGAGTCGTTAGCGCAGAATGGAAAGCCTCCAGATCAAAATAGCAGTCCTGTGAACGGAGAGGGACCCAGTATGAGGCACCGCGGACAGGGAGATGGGGCTGAGGCGTCCGCACAGAGGGCCACAGACTCAGCCAAGTCATACACTGCAGAGCAGCTGGAAGCTGTCAGAAAGTTAGTACACTTGGGATCTGTTCTAATATATTAGTAAAAACTTTACTACGGGAGACAGGGAATCAGTTGTCACTACATACTTTACTCGTTACCCCTGAAATAAGTGGACACTTTGACCTTATTTTAGATACATTTTATAGTGTATTTCGTCTAGTCTAGGGGTTGACGATGTGAGAAAACATTGTTATGGGATAATCAAGCAAGTAGAAGTACTGACTGTTCATATTACTCTGCTGGAGCAGTCAGAAAGTTCTGCCTTGAAAGAGGAGCATACATTTCAGACAACATTGTTTATGTTTTTTTTTTTTTGAGTGGTTTAAAAAAAAAGAATTATAAAATCAACATGGTGTCAACATGCCTTTACTGATATAATAGTATTTGGAAATCGCTAAATCAAGCAGACAAAATGAAGCTATAGTATTAAAAATACATCCAGATTTTTTTTCTGACATTCTCTGTGACACAGTAGTTCTCCAATATTGACCATTGTCTGATCCCCTTTAAAGTTGCACAGAATGTTACAGTCTCTTATTTAGTATATGGTTAGTGCATATATTTGTTTGTTTTTGTTATTACTTTTAGCTTGATGATGTATTTGAATGTCTTTTTTTAATGTGTTAGGGGACAATTCTACTGTATATGTCACATTACCAGTGGTGTATTTTTTTATTTTTATTTTTTATTTTTTTTGGCAGTCTGCTGACCATCTCTGGTGGATGTCTTTCTTTTGATGCAGGATTAAGAGCTGTAAAGATTACTACCAAATTCTGGGAGTTGAAAAGACTGCCTCTGAGGAGGATCTAAAAAAGGCTTACAGAAAACTGGCTCTGAAATTTCATCCAGATAAAAATCATGCACCTGGAGCCACAGAGGCATTTAAAGGTAAATGATAAGTAATCTCCAGCATGGAGGACATGTTAATGTAAGATTACTAAGTGCTAATTTGTGATTGTGTGTGTGCACGCGCATGTGTGCATGTGTGTCTGTCTTTCAGCTATTGGTAACGCCTATGCTGTACTGAGTAATGCTGAGAAACGACGACAATATGATCAGTATGGAGAGGAGAGATCACACCCAAGCAGACACAGACAGCATCGTGATTTTGAAGCAGACATCTCACCTGAGGACCTCTTCAACATGTTCTTTGGTGGAGGCTTTCCATCAAGTAGGTAGATGCCTAATGAATATAGTGTAAATCAGGATACTGGTCCATGTCTGAGTACCCCACTTGATAACGATATTCTTTAATGTGTTTTGATTAACCTGAGTGTTACCTTAAATAATGGCTATGCTGTAGACCACACTTTTGTCTCCATGTATTGCATTTGCTAAAAGGGACTGTTTAAATACCAAAGCTGACAGTTGGACCTTGTGTCTCCAGCATGGCTAGTTTTTGTGCTGTCTTTTGAACACTTGCTTTACTTAGCCCTTAGCAGTGTTCATTCTTTAATTAGTCAGTGATGATACATGATGATATGCCTTTTGCTTAAATTATTTCTAGGTAATGTACACGTTTACAGAAATGGAAGAATGCACTTTGCACATCAAAATAGGCAAGAAAGACGAGAACAACAGAGAGATGTAAGTCCTGTGATGCTTTAGCAACATGTGTATGATGTGTTGTATGACCTGTAATAAACAGTAATCAAATGTTTGTTTTTCCTCTCTGGACAGGGAGGTCTGGCCCTGTTTGTCCAGCTGATGCCCATCTTAATCCTCATTATTGTTTCCGCTCTCAGCCAGATCATGGTCACCCAGCCTCCCTACAGCCTTAGCTACCACCCGTAAGTGGTTCAAACACTAAGAGTGCTTTCTTATGTTGTGTGAAAATGTCTCCACATTGATCTCAGCCATTCATTATATTTTATGTGCATCAGGTCAACTGGACATATTCACAAAAGGCATACATCAAACCTGAAGGTTCCATTCTATGTTGGAGACCGTTTCAATGAAGAATATTCTGGGAATAACCTGAAGACTGTTGAGAGAAGTGTAGAAGAAGATTACATCTCCAACCTCAGAAATAACTGTTGGAAGGAGAAGCAGCAGAGTAAGTATACAGTACAGCTGCACCTAACAGTTATTTTAAACATTGATTAATCTGCAGATTATTGTCTTTATTAGTCATTTTGTTGATTGAAACCTAGCGTACTGACATCCTCCTCTTGTACTTTCAGAGGAAGGTTTACTGTATCGTGCTCGTTACTTTGGGGATTCTGACTTGTACCAAAGGGCACAGAGAATGGGGACGCCCAGCTGTTCCAGACTATCTGAGATTCAGGTTATATTGGATGGCTAGAAACCACTTCTACACTCATGGGTAAGTCTCCACAAGCACCACAGTGACATTTACAGCATAATTATTACCGTATACAGTATGTGAACTGCAGCAACTTCAGTGTTTTATCCCTACATATCGCACACACAGTTTTCCAGAGTTGCCATATGTCTTTGAATTTATTTCCAACCTTCCAGGCTGCTTAACTTATCAACGCATGGCAGTGCAGTTGCAAGCAGGGACCGACACCTGATATTCGAGAGTCAGCTCTGTTGTCTCAGGTGTCAGTTTCTTTCAAGCACTTTACGGCACCAGCAACAATTTTTAAACCAGGCCCTGCTCACACTTGCATTAACATATAGTCATAGAACTTTGACTGATTAAAAAGGTGTAAAGGCAAATGATGGGTCACTGTGAGGTTTAAGTCTCTGCAAGTTGCTTTTTGCTTTTTGTACCACACAGCAAAAAAACAAAAGCCTTTGGCAGCCTGGAAGATAAATGCACTTTTAAAATGTATGGTTTGGAAAAAAAAAGGTAAACATTTACAGGAAGTGTGTCTTAATGGGACCTCACTGATACTGAGAATTACACAAGCGATAATGACTTATGAATGGGTTTGTGTGGAGCTTGTTGGCTGTCTGTGCATTTTTAGGAGTTTACTAAAGTGTATCCTATGAAGAGTGATTGCTACATAAATATCATTGATTCTTTTGTCTTCCTTAGGTTCATTGGTACTTGAATCTAATTAGAAGAAATCGGTCAGAGCCCACTCAAATTGGAGCATATTTCTGCAGTAAACCAAGAGAATCAAAAATGCCTTATGTGCAGTGGGCAGCAGACTTCATCAGGGAACCTCTCTGCAACTTGCTGTAGATTGACTTCCTGTACAACTGCGAGAAGCTTTGAGTTGACTGCTGACATTTTCTTATTCTAGTGTCTTTGGGATGGCGAGAGTCCACTGGGCATGACAGTGGGAAGTATGAGCATAGTTGTCTGTTTGAATGGTAACAAAGCTGCTAAGAATAGCTTTCACTGTCCCAGTTTTTTTTGTTTTCCTTATACATTTTGAGAAACCTCATGGCCTTCTCATAGACACGTCTGAGCCACTCACAAGGAAGTGCGTAATTTTTATAGATCTTACCACTGTAAATATTCATTTTACTTTTAACAGTGCAGGTTTTATTGAAGTTAATATTATGTACTAGAATGTTATTCAGTGGATTTGCTTGTAGCCTGTTGGATCATAAGTATTGAAAATGATTGCACAAATAAAAGTAAACCATATTTATTAAATTAATATGCTAAAATTGTATAAAAGCCTCTTTTAATTAAATCTGTCCAAGGATTGATGGCTGCATATTTTACTTTGAAACACACAGGCGCACACTTTCGTATATACTTTTATAATGAGTCGAACTTGAAAATGTAGTGTACTCAAACTGAAACTGTGAAAAAATGGAATGACGCTGCTGTTGATGGATACCGCTCTCCCTCGGAGTAATGCACAGGGGAAATGGAGGAGTTGCTCACAGCTGAAAAATAAACAGACTGCTCACACAAGCTCTTGGAAAATCAAAAATAAATATTGAAAAGTGTAACTACCAATGATATGCCAAAATTGGTTTGATTGACAATGCACATTTTACAATGATTCATATTATTTTAAGATGGTATGTTTTTTATGTTTAAACTGTAAAATTGTGATTACTATGTACTGTATAGGATTTATATAGCTATTGATGAGTAGAAGGACACAATTTATCAAAATAATTTATTTCTCAATGTTCTATAAGTCATTACAAAATCAAGCTTCAAGTGATAACAGCCATTCTCTTGAGTGCATGACTTTACATTCATAGGAAAGAACCTGACCCATGACCAGGTGAGTAGCTGCTATGAGACTTGTTTCTGGGGAAATCCTGGCTACACCAATGGAGACAGGTAGGTATTACTTAGGGACCATCCTGTCAGTGCCATTTGACATGAATGTTGGACTCCTAAGATACTGTGCTTAGCCCACCAGTCTCTTTTTCACAGTCTGTGTGAAGTTCAGCTTATCAGGGAGAGGAGCTATTAGGAGCACTCCTCAATCAGCAGCTCCCCTGATGAGTACAGTTTTCTCTTGATAGCCCTGAAGCTCCTACTCAGCCTCAGAGTGTTTTGGTGCCCTGGAGATGATGCAGATGTCTGCGGGGAAGTGCTACCCTTGAACAGTTTCTGAACCTTAGGCCACAGTCCACTGCATTCAAGCCTCAGCACCAGGGTCACATGGAAGGTCGGGACCAAGCTGGAATCCACTACTATTTCGTCCACAGTGCATAGGGAGTTCTGGCCCCCCCTGTCTACACACAGGTCAATAAGTGCTCCCCTGAGTCCACAAGGCTCACAGGCAGCCAGGTGGAGCAGCTCCTGGCTGATACTGTGTAGTAGACAGTCGGGCAAGATTAGTCTGGAGCAGCCCAAGTTGTGAGATGCGTTGTGAAGACTTTGTGTTATGGCTTGTACAACTTCTGTAGCTAAGCTCTCCTCCAGAGGATAACAGAAGAAATCACTGTCTGACTCTGACAGGGACATGTCTGCCACAGATCCTAAAACAAAAGAGATTGGTGGTTAGAAGCTGTGTCTGGTAGTATAGTGTTCACACTGAACTTTTTCCACTTTCTGTGACTATTTACTCTCTTTTCCAAACGCAAATAAAATAAAATAAAACTTTCTTGCCCATATAGGCCTAAACAAAAGACAACAGGGCCCCCGCAGACAAAGGCAGGAAACACTCACCGGTTTCGCTCCCGCAGCACTGCTCCGTTGTGGCCCCCTGATTTACCCCCTTCAGCTCCACTAGTCTCTGTAGCAAAGTGCTCCAGGACAACCGCTTTGAAGCCCTGTCCTCCGCTGGAGATGGAGGAAAGCTGCCGTCCAGAGAATGATTGCACGAAAAAGACATATTTGCATACAAAAAAAGAATCCGATGGTAAAAATAAAGTACCCCTCTACCGTGCCAGTCCAGCTGGAAAACACAGTTGCGGACAATGGAACCAGACATTAAATAGCTATGCCCGAACGCCCCGCCTACTGTATTTTTTAACCAATGAGGTTCTAGCTCACGTCTTCAACGTCCTAGCCTGCCTGGTAACGTTTTTGGCCCCTTTGATGACGCAAAGGACAGACCCCCCAACCCTGCAAGCCAGTCACCGCACGTAACGCACGTAGGCGGTGATTGGGAACGTGAGAGCAGACCATGTTTATTGGCTCCCTGTAATAGAGCCAAAGTACCTTTCAGTATATAAATATTTACAAAGTTTCTGTTTACAATCCTCACAAACAATGCCCTGCATCTTAATTTAATGATAGGTTATGATAAAATGTGATTATACTGTATAACATGTTATCACAGAATTCTACGTTTAAGAAATAAGAAGTTGGTTATCTTGTCAGTAGCAGTTTTATTTGTGTGACCATTTTAATCATTTAAATGCTTTTAATTATTTTCACAGCACTTTTATTGTCATTAAAGAATCAATTTCCAAAGATCTGGAGTACTGACTTGTCTCAACTTGAGAGACAACCCTTCTGACGTCTGACTTCAAACACGTAGGCTAGACACCCATGCAGACCAGCCCCACCCCCAACGAAGCCCAGAGACCTCTATATGCTCTTGCTCAAGATCACATTTAACATCATCATCATCACCATCATCATCATCATAATCACCCCAACCGGTCGAGGCAGAAGGCCGCCCACCAAGAGCCGGGGTCTGTCGGAGGTTTCTTCCGTTAAAGGGAGTTTTTCCTCCCCACTGTCGCCAAGTGCTTGCTCAAGGGGGATTTGTTGGGTTTTCCCTATGTAATAATATTGATAACAGTAAGGTCTAGACCTTACTTTGTAAAGTGTCCTGAGATGACTTTTGTTGTGATTTGGCGCTATACAAATAAAATTTGATTTGATTTGATTTGATAATCCTCCTTTGGTATTTATGTCAGCATGTTTAAAGTGTCTCTTGAATTTCTAAGATCTAAATTATTAGTAGCAGATTTGATTCATTCTTATTGTCTTAGAGCTGAATTATTTCTCTGCATTTAATGAGAATACACAAGACTATTGGGTAAATAAAGTATATGGGTATAAAAGTACCGAAAATGAATAAAGATTGCTTCACACTAAAGTTCAACACCAGGCTAAATAAGCAAAAGAGCTAAAAGTGATTTATATACAGTATATAAATAGAACATTTATATATACACTCACATGCCACTTCATTAGGTACACCTGTAGTGTTGCATTGAACTGCATACAACTGTTCAGGTGTACCTAATAAACTGACCTGTCAGTGTATATATACTGTATATTTTATGTTATGATGGAATATGGGTCATACAGGTTTATCCAAAATGGTGTAATAGACTTCTTTTCCAGATGATGGCGTTAATGCATCAGTGTTAAAATACAGGCAACATAGTATAAGCTGCAGCCAATATGTGGTGTGTGTGTGTGTGTGTGTGTGTGCTGGCATGTAAAATTGTTAGGCCAAAGTGCACTTGTTTTGAATGAAGGTGCCCCTGAACACACAGTCTTTGTGAATGTGCACTTGAATGGTCAAAACAGTTTTTGCTTGCTTGTTTCTTTGGCCTCTTTTGTGTGTCTCTGCATTTTGCATATAAATGGGAAATGTATCATTTAACAAAGTGTAAGCTTCTAAACTACACTCGTCGGGGTAAACATTATTTGTGCTATGTCATGGAAAAAACAGTCAAATGGAAATGGTGAAATAAACCGTGACAGCCACTGTGTTTTACAATTCAAACAGACCTGAGAGAGCTGTTAGGCCAGCCAGCCTCAGGCTATTTAATTCATGTATAATAAATCTCCTAGCAAATGGGTGGTTAGGAATGGATTTTTTTTTTTCTGGAACAATTTGCTTTAATCTGAGGTGCAGTGACTCAAATAGAAAACCCTTTGCTCCATTTGTCATTCCAAAGAACTATTTCAGTAATTGAAGTAAAAATAACCAAAGCAATTATGAAGCACTTCAGTGGACAATGCAATAAATTTACACCTGAATTAGCTCAGGCATCACCTTCTTCTCCAGATTAATTTGAATATGTTGAAAAGGGTGCATGCATTGTGTTTGCCAGGTTCTAGTTCTATAGAAACATAATGCTGTTACAAGCAGGGTCCATCTTAGACAACTGAAATGTTTTGTTGAGTTACAGAGTAACAAACTTAGATGTTTTAATCATTTTTTATGACATGAAAACTGAGGTGGTCTCGGTTGCTTTAACGACATGATTCTAACAAAAAAAGAAGAAGTATTATTACATATCAAAGGTAAATATTACAGTATGTAGCCTCTTACTCTTCTGACATCAGAGCCCAGTTTTCATCTGGAAAGCGTTTAGCTCTGAGTGCAGGACTCTGGTTTCATCAGCCTGCATCACCTGGAGTTGGAGCTGGGACAGCGTTCCATTTAGGCTCTGATTTATTGCTGGAGGAAGCAGAAACAGACCTGCAATCTCAAAGGGGGCAGGAGAAACTGGGATGTTTGGCAAATTTGCTGAGACATGATTTTCTTTATCAAAGCATTAACACTTTACACACCATTTTCAACTAGCCTGTACTTTGAATGTAAGATAAATGCTGATTTTCAGTTAGAAATAAAGTTGGTGTGGTTCTTGTGTTTGCACATTCAGGAAAGCAATGACTTTATTTCATGGGGTGAGCTTAATCCAACTGAAACAGCCATGTCACACAGATTTACTTGCAAAAGAAGGCTTCCCAGTACAGAAAACCTAATACCTATTTCACGCAGTAAAAATGAGCCCACAATTAAGTAACATTAGTCAACTGACTGCATAAGAACTGTAAAGTAGTTGCAGTGCAGTTTTTCCCCCTAAGGCACAGACCAGATAAAATTCAACTTGATTCCATGAACATTATTTGGAGTTCTTAAAATCTGTATTTAAATCTGGCTTAGTGGGTTTTTTTATTAATTTTTGTCATGTGAGTCACAGAATACAAATTTATTTCCTCTTGTAAAAGGTATTATTTCCTTTCACTGGCTACAATGAAACACCCAAAGAAATTAGATTATTTGTAGTTTCCAGTTTGTATCGCCATGCCATGTGAATGGGCTTTATTACTGAGTGAATCTCATTAGGCCAGGAGGCTGCATTGCTGAGTGAAATGTGCAGGAGTAAGAAAAGTCAATGCATATCTGATGAACTGTGACCACATGATGAACACAGAATAAGCTAGAACATTATTTATAAGTACCATGACTGGTCCCTGAGTTCTTTTAGAGCCATGTGCATTATTTAGCACATCTGCCAATATTATTATGCTTTTTGTGTTGGTTTTGAATTAAAGAAGACCTTGTGAGTTGTTGTGACTCTTCTTTGAATCTTAAATTATTTACGTATTTACAGACCCTACTAATGTTAAATGCATATTATAGTTTACATCATGTTAGCTCACGCTGACATAACTGTCAATCTAAATGATTTGCTCAGTATCTTTGTACCAAAGTGGGCAGCTACACATGAAACGCAAAACTGTTTTTTTGAAAGTAACTTTTACTAAACTTTAATGAATTGCTCAGTTTTAAATAAATACTTTATCTAATAGATAAATATCTTTGTGTCTAATCTCAACATTTTACAGTTGACTTTGACTCCACAAGTGGTTTGGGGGTTCAGAGCATTATCTTCGGTCTGAGGCATCTGCTCTTAATGTGTACAGGTTTTGTTAACAAGCAACATTTGATCTTTACACGTCTCCGTCCTGCAGCCATTCCAATCATCACAATTATATCCCCTCCCTTTGCTTCACAAAGTATCAGATCTTGGGAAACCACATTCACATGACTGACAGGGGAGTGGATTTTCCCAGCATTTATAAGAAGATTACCTGAAACCCCCTATGGCTATGTGAATCTAGGATTACTCAGACACTTTTTCTTTAACCGGCTCAAATAAATGAGGTGCACATTGTTGGTCTGTCATGTTCTGCCCCACTCTTTCTCTTGATCCCACCTCTGTGAGTGTCGCATCACATCTGTCTCTGGGTTCATGACCGGGCTTGTGTCCTGACCCCCCAGTGCTACAGCTCCAAGGTTTTCACCTTATCAGTCCCTTAAAGGATGCATCGTGTTAATCACACCCCCGTTTTGCTTCATATGACCCTTGTTCAGTTTGATAATCTCACTGAACATAAGTACACTTGCTGAATGTATCAATATATGTGGATTGAGACATGCTCTGTTTCTCTCAGCTACTGATTATATCACAACTCAGTTTCTACATTATACTGTGTTCAATGTGAACAACCTCCTCTGAAGTGATTAAATAAAGATGGCTTCACTTAATCCTGCATTACAAGCTGTCATTCAAAGTGTCTCTCTGGGGACTAGCTGAGGCTGCACCAGGAAGAGATAGAGAGCAATGCAATATCTGTGGCACAATGCGAATGCTCTATTTACTGGTAATGTATCAGAAAACATTGTCATTATCTGTGGGCCATCTGCAGAACAGAGATCAGCAGCAATCCAACTGCTGGCATTTATTTATGCCAGCAATCCAACTGCTGGCATTTATTTACTTTCTACCAGTATGTTTGGGCAAGAGAGCAAGTTATGAACAATTGGTTTACTTTATTCCAGACCACAGGTTCATATCACAAGATAATACAACTCATTTGCAAGTCATTAATGTTCAGTTCTTTTCAAATATGTGTGGATGCAGCTCACTGATATTAGCATGTGCCAAACGAAATAACATAGGTGTAATTAATAACATTAATGATCTCTACAGTGCATTTAGGTGTCCCGGTTCATGGCTCTGGCACACCAGATCACTGTCATTCTTTACTGGGACACTTAAAAGGAACAGAGCCACAGATAATGTTATTAGTAACATGTGTACTTTTCCTGCTATGTCGAAATGTCTGCTGTGAAAAAGGCCTGAAATGTACATAGGTATTCAGATCAAAATATAATTAGAGTACCAAAAGTAGCCTACTTATTATGCAGATTGACATTATGAAAATCATACTTAGTAGGTGAGTAAATGTATCTCAGTCTTTCCACCAAATCTATTCACAACACAGGAAAAAAATGAAGCGGTGAATTATATTTCAGTGTTATCCAACAGAGGTCACCGTAGATCTGCCAATTCTAAATACAATGCTCTCCTCAAGGATCAAGGAGCAATAAAATAAGGGAATTGAGATTTACCCACACAAACAGGCTTTACTTCCCTCAGTATCTACTGCCAGTGATATCTAATGTATGTCATTATAGATAGAGGATATGGAAAAAGCTAGTAAGTTGATAAATTAAACTTTCATGAATATTAACTATACGGATCACAGCACAACATGCAGACCAAACTATTACAGTGACAGAACACTTGTAAGAATTGGCCAACAAGGAGACACATCATACAGACTGGTGGGGGAGATGCAAAAGCTTACTGGGCATGATTTAACAAAACTAGACTTATTCTGAGTCCAGACAGACGAATAAAAGGGGTAATCAGAGACCAAACAGAGGTCAAAAACAAAGTAGAAAAAGTCCAAATAAATCAAAAACAAAAAAATGAATCCAGGCGAGCAGTCCAAAAACAAGCTGAGTTTATGTAAACATGAGGGAAATTGGAAGGTAGCCTGGGGCTGAAAGCACAAAGGATGATTTAGCAGAGGACAAAAGAGCACGGGCCTGTATATGTACTGGGGAGCTGAGTATGGAAGTGAAATCGGGTGTGGAGGACGTGGGAGTCAGGACTGGGCAACGAGGAAATGAGAGGCAGGTGTGCCAGGCAGAGATTGGAAAGTAAAGGGGCAGGTACTGTGACTGACATACAGAGTGAAGCTGATTAACATTTACTACCATTGTGGCATCTACTAGCCTACGATTAATTAATTAATTGATTGGCTGATCATTAGAAAAGGCAATCAGTATATGCTTTAACTGATTTATTGTTTGATTCATAAAAACATAAACTTTCTCTAATCACAGCTTTCCAGATGATGATTTGCTGCTTTTCTTTGTTTTATGTGAAGGTAAAACAAATAGTTTTTAGATTTGGGGCTGCTGGTCAAGCAATTTGATGGCATCACATTTGACCATAGAAATTATGATGGACATTTTCCAGAAATTTTCCAGTTTCTGAAAGTTACTACGTGCATTTACTTGAAAACTTAGGTTCAACACTAAGGTGCATTATGCTGAAGTAATTCCATTTTTTGCGACTGTTCTACTTCACTATATTTGTATAGCAGCTTTAGATTCAGACTATTCAAGATTATCTCCTCGTTTACCAGCTGCAATATTTACTGTGCATGATAAATACATTGATGCATCATATAATCCTATAATAATTTGAAATGGGACACTCTTCATAATGAGTTCTTTTACTTTTGGTTAATAAATTTTATTGTGCTGCTAATGCTTATCTACTTTTGAAACGTTCTAGTTCATAGCTTATACTTGTACCAGTGTTTGTACACTGCAGGATTGGTATTTTTACTGAGCATTTCTTTCACCACTGTAATTTTCTCCCATTTCAATTACAAAATGATTAAAAGTAATCCCCAGGTTATTATAAGATAATGGAAGTAATCTGCAGTTGCAACACAAATGCTGACTGCTCCACCTGAACAAATGAAGACCGGAGGGTGCAGCAGCACACCGCCTTCAACATGAAAAGGCAAATAAATCTGTGACTCACAAACTGAAAGATACCAAATTGTGTCCCACATCACCAGGACTCATCCTGAATACTATCATCGTCTCTCTCTCTCTCTCTCTCTCTCTCTCTCTCTCTCTCTCTCTCTCTCTCTCTCTCTCTCTCTCTCTCCCCTCTCTCTCCCAGCAGAAGGGGCACACTATAGGCTAATCAGTTGGTAGTTTCAATCCATCCTCAGCATCCTCCTCCTCCTCCCAGAAGAGGAAGACCGTCAGCTGGTGTGTGCGAGGTGTTTTTGTCAGCTACCATGGTGGAAATTATGGATATCGCGTGCCTTCTCGTCCCGCTGGTGATGCTCGCGGGGTCTACCTTTCAGACCGATGTGAAGAGCGCCAAAGAAGCGGAAAAAGCTGGGAATTTCATGGAAGACGAGCAGTGGCTGTCCACCATTTCACAGTACAGCCGCAAGATAAAGCATTGGAATCGCTTCAGAGACGTAAGTCCGCCGTGGCTGTGAAATGCGCGGTAATGCGGTAAGATGCGCTGCTGGCACGCACGGCCATTTACAAACAATAATAACAGTTGTTGAGCACTTTATTATCGTCATAATGTACACAAAGTTGGTGTTGTTGTTGAAACATAGCCCATATTGGGGAAAGACGCGCGCGCGCGCTAAATGAACAGTTTCCCAAACAAGAGAATAATCAGAAATAATCAGTGTAAAGATTTATAGAATAGGCCTTTAACAAGGTGGGAATGGGGAATATATGATCTGTTATCTATTTTAAGAGCGTCACCTACATGTACACGTCTGGCCTGATTTTGTTCACTTAAAGAATTATTTCAAATATGAACAGTTGGAGGAAATGGAAAAGATTCTCATGCCAAACACTTTTTAAACTTCCTCCTGAAAATTCAGCTTTTCCAAAGTCATATTTATGGAGAGCTAGAGAAAACAAGCTTTAAAGCCAAAGCACCGACTATACAGAGTACTACTCTTCCCACTTTTGGTGTAAGGGGTCCTGGTTAATTGTAAGCAATTAATGTTTGATAGGGTGGTGATTAGGTGATTTGCATACTCACCTCCTGAGCAGACAGAGCTGGGCTGTAGGGATTGATTAAAACTGGCAGGGTATGCCTAATGATATAGTGGCTGTGCCTGTGAAGGTGTAGTAGTAGTTTTACCTCCAGCTCTGAAATGATCCCAACAGGATTTGGATAATAGTGCAGCTGGATTATTTTCCATATTACTCATATTAATTGGGTTTTAATTGATCCAGGGTGGTTACTGCAGCATGTGATAGGTGTCCTTAATGGGTTTGAAATCTGAGCAGGTGGCTTGGGCATCTATATGAGAACAATGCGGTATTTTCTCAGGAGAACAAGGTGAACATTTCTCAATAATCCATTTTTCATTCACCTGCTTAAATCGCAGGTCATGGGCATCTCTGAAGAAAATGTGAATGTTTATGAAAATTAGTAGCTGGCCCCTCCCCAGGACGGAGTACTTTGACTGATTACTTTAAAAAGAAGTCCTCTGGAACTGTATATATAGAAGTAATGGATTTGTGGGTATGGAAAGATTGTTAGAATAATTGTGAGATTATAACTCTTTAAATACGCAGCTCTGATTCAAAAATGTGAGTTAGAGCAGCAGCTTCACTTCGAATTCAGTACTTCACAGTTGGCTATGCAAAAAAATATATAAATAAATAAAATAAAACTCTTTCCAAGAGTGAATAACATCACCAACATTTACCAATAATATATCCAGAAACCCAAGAAATAAACAGTTCAGACAAAGTGGGATCATCTTCTGTTCTTCAACACTTAAAGCTTTGTTGCTCTGCTTTCCCATTTTTCCTTGATTTAACATTAAAGCTACTGTGTAACACACTGTGCACACTGTATCTCTTTCATGCATTACTCGCAGGGTTAATTTTCCTAACGTGTGTGTACATTTGTGTGAACATGTCTATACTTGAGCAAGAGCCTAAATGTGGCTGTTGCGTGCACGCGTGTTGGTGCATTTGCGAGTGCGTTAAAGGGCAGGAGTGGTGGTGTCTCTGGCGATGATGATGATGACAGGAGAAACATCAGAGAAGTGAACCAGTGAACCTCCCCCTGGGGAATCGCCAATAGAAACTGCTTTGATTTCAGCTTGCTGCCGTAGCAACAGCAGTCTGTGTTATGGTGTTGAAATGAAGCATGCATCACTGGGAGTTTGATGACTCTATTCCCTCTCTTGTCCTGCTTCAGGGTGGATGAATGGGTGGACACATCCTCTATTAGGATTTTTTCAGATCATTAAAACTAAACTTTTTCAACTGAAAAACCATTTGTGCAACCAACTATTATTTTCTTGATGGGTTTTAATGAGAGCTGCTGAATATTGAATGTAATGAACATTTAATTGGTGTTGCTTCATACTGGCCTTTGAGCTAAATAAAGCTGAACTATAAAAGGAGCAGTTCAAGTCTCTGGGAATTCATTGGTTGATGTATAAAGAGCTGCCAGTGACTTACATGCGTTCACATTGCACCTATTGCTATTGACTCACACAGTCCACTGAGAGCTGAATGTTGAATATTAATCCAATACTACAAAGCAATAATCAAAGCTGCACAACATGAAGGATGAGCTCTTTTATTCTCCCATTTATACAAACACACAAAGATGCACACAATCCCCAACACGCAATGCATGAGCTGCAGAACATATACTGTATATTCCATATTTATTCTCTTACAAAATGTAAAAGCAGAATCAGGATAAGAGGCTCTTTTGCAACCAGTAAAAATAGCTCCCACACTTCAATTCAGTCTATTTCACAGGAAGGCAAGGTGATTAAATTTAACATTTACAGTCAACAAATAATAAAATAGAATCCCTTTAGTCCTATAATCTGACAGGAGCACTCAACATTTCATTCCACATGCAACAAATCCAGGCAAAGGACAAATTGGAGAACAGAGCGGGCAGTTATAGCAACTGAATGCAGTGTTTCTATTTTAAACAAACGGCTGACATCCTTGGTCAGTTCCTTTGAGAAAATAATAAAAAGCAAATCCAAAAGCCCAAAAAAGTCACATAAAATGGCTGCATTAAATTTAAGATATGCAGTAGCAAGGTTTAATCATAAAACTACATCTTGCTGTTCTCTCACTTTTTAAGCACAATGTTTTTGTTTTTTTTTACAAACAGGGACTGAATAAAATTTATTCAGTGCATAGCAATTTAAAGACTAAATTATAGGGGCAGTTGGACGTCAACTGGGATCATCTCACCAGACAAAGTACATTCTGTTTTAATTTTAGTATGAAATTAAATGGCTGGAGGGTGTAGCATGTAATTCATAGTACACCCAAACTGGTGTGTCTACCAAAGGCAAACCAACAGTAAATTCAAACATTTTTATTTATTTATTTGCTCAACAGCGGTTAGGGCATAGCAAGTTCACCCAGAAGGATGTCGTTTATTGTCAGTATCCACCGCAGAAAGGGGCGTGTGTTTATGATGTGATTTTTGTTTAATACTTTTCTCATTTTCTCTGCACTCCACCCTCCTATCCTGCGCTGTCTGTGCCTGGTAAATCCTTATCTTAAAAATGCACACCTCTACAGTCAGGCAGCTCCGGACCATCCAGTACCAATCCTGCCTGCACCTGTTATCCACTCCCTTCATTTTTAATGAGTAGAAAACACTCTGTGCTAGCACAAAATCATCTGATCCCTTTTTGATACGGGTGTATGAATGTACAGAATGGTGGAAGCACTTGCAGCAGGTTCTGGTTTATTATTAACACATGATGTTATGTTCTTTTGCACCACATTTACCTTTGCTACTTATTCTCGCCTTCCTCTCGAGCCCTTAAACTGGCTACAGTCCAGCAGAATTTGAACTCTTCATAATTGTAGGTGCACCCCTCTGTGCTCGTTTTTATCATTTCATCATAGCATGCAAACCACAATTGTGGATAATGGCATCTGTAACACTGGAGCCAAATACTCCATTAACGACTACCCAGATGAACAGTAAATTATCATCACTATAGTCCTGCACTCAGTGGCTTTCCTATCACACAGCCGCTTGACAACCCCATCCCCTCTGATGTTAGAACAGACTGCTGATGAAATAATGCTATGAATGATGATAACAGCTTATCACACACCCATTAGTCTTCTCTGGTCATGCCTCATTCTGGCGTTGTTCTTTCCTTATCATACTTCAGATTTTCTCTGATGCTGACAATGTACAAAGCACCACTGGCAATGCAGATGGAGTGGAGCCCATCTGGGAGAGGTGGTGTGGTTATTCGGGATTTGGATGGACTACTGGTGTGCTGCGGGGTGTCTTGGCTGGCTACCAAAGCTCTAGGTGGGCTGTAATTGAGTGCAAGAAAAAAAAAAAGCAAAGAAAGAAACAGCCTTTCATTATGTCCTGCTTGCATGACTACAGCTGCTTCCCTCTGCAGTACAATAGCCACAGCTGAAGGGCAAAGGTGCTGCAGAGAGCAAGGGAGAGGATTTGCAAAGTAGTAAAAAAGAAGCTGATATATATCAGATTTCATAGCAGATGCAATTGTGCATAAAATTGACTAAAGGTATCTTCACTGAGAACTCTCCATACAAAAGCTGCTGACAAAGACGTGGGTCTTTAAAGCATCCTTTTGTACCGCATTCCTCCCTAACAGAGGCCAGAAACCACTGTGAGCATTTTATATGCATGGCTTATCAAAGTGACCTGCTTCTGTGTCGGCTACACCTGGGAGTCTATATGCCACATACTATAGGCTGTTTGCTGCAGAGAACCCATCCAGGAATCTGCCTGTTATAAGCTCTTTGTGGGACACTTCAAAGTCCTGCTGCACTTAAAAACCCTGCCTATAAACTAAATAGCCCAGCAGCAGTAAAATCCCAAAAATATGTTTTTCTTTGAGGAGTTGTGAATCATATTATATCAATTTAGATGCAAACAGCTTGAAACCTAAGAGCTGTATTTGTTTTGTAAATAACCCTTATTTGAAAATTTACCACACCTCTTATGTTAAAAGACTTATGTAGCTTTTGAGATTCTGTAAGGCAGGTTCTATATCTCAAACCTTTTTTCCTTTTAAAGCCAACAACAGCTCAGTGTAATAGTGGCTGTCCCTAAAGTAAATGCCACCCAGGGGTTATTACCTTTGAGCCTGAGCCAGACTGAGTCACTGCCGGTGTGTGATCAGCTCCTGGACATATAGTACAGCAGCTGATATTAAAGGTTGTTCAAAGTATCATATCTTTAAGAGCACCTGAAAGTGGGCTTGTTGAGAAAATGTTCACAGTAATCAGCCTCAGAGGAGCACACACACACACACACACACACACACACACACACACACACACACACACACACACACACACACACACACACACACACACACACACACAGTAGCTGAGACACTTGTTTTAAAAGGAGTGGGTATTTGAGAAAATCTCCCAGTCAGACTAAAGACAC